TTATTCTAGTGTTTGGCCGTGTCATGCCTATCTGGAGCCTAGAGGAGTCATGCCTATCCTGAATGCCCTGAGAAAGCTGATAGGTATTTCTATTATGTCAGGATCCTGGGGAGTCAGGTATAACAGAAACAGCCAACAGCCAAGACCCAAGCCCTCTGTGATTCCTGTAAAAAGAAACAACAGGTTCTCCTTAGGAATGAGTTTAAAGCAGGTCAAAACAGTTGAAGTGGTAGACTATGGGAGGGAAAGACTTCAGGAGCATGAAAGGGGCTGCTTAGCTACACACTGTATGCACTTCTGACAAATGGGGAGAAAACTTACTTGCTACCTTGGAAGCCAATGTCAAGGGAGGGTATTTGCCAGCAGGGGGAAAACCTATCGTAAACTAGAGATAACTCACAGTGATGCTGGGGATAGAGGGAATGACTCCTTTCTCCCAAAGTGACCCCGGGTGACCTGCAGGAGGGCTGAGGGGAGAGAGGGATCAACAACCCATGGTGAGCATGATCATCCATCATAGCTAAAAATGAGCTGGGTCATTGTGACATGGGAAAGTACTCAAAGTCTGTTTTTTGTACCTAAATCTTCATGTAACCTAAAAACAACAGTCATTTCTTATCAATTAAAGCAGACTTCGCCATCTTGCTGTCATCCAGATGTTTCCAACCATAATTCTCATAATCCTTGTCCATAAACTGGGGCTTCTGAGACTTGTAGCTCAAAATATCTGGAAGGCAGCAGGGTGGCGAAGGCGGTGTTAGAGCCTTAGTGTCCCTGAATTGGCAGGTGTCTGCATTCATGCATATCGATGAAGGAGAAATGTAAACAGTAGTGGAAGAAACATTCAATATCTAGTCTGCAAATTCTGTATGAAGCTGAATTATATTAAGTATTATTCATTCGAAACCTATCTACCCTGCTCTTCAGTTTTAAGGCTTCTAAAGTGGCTTACATTAACAGTCCCTAGATCCAGGCTCAGAATCTAAAAAGACAAAAAGAAGGAAGACGGGTGGCTTAATTGTAATGGTTATTTAACTTGCCCAGATGAATTGAAATAGAGCAATCGATGCAATGCATCTGATGCCCCAGGCTGGCTTGCTCATTTTTTCCTTTCTTCTTTCAATACAATCATAGCATCCATGCATGTGCAGCAATTGGTGGAAAAGTATCATCCTTCAGCAGGCTTGGTAATTACTATCTCCAGTAAATAAACGAGGCAAGGTGTTTTGCTTTTTGATAGCCTATGACTCAAGTTATTAGCTATAATGGCCATCTGTAATGAAAGGCTTTCTTGGAAGAAACCCCCACCCCTCTAGCTGGGGAATGTTTGGAACTGGAGGAGTCTTCCTATCTACACAGAACACAGGGTGTATGATTCCACCCTTATAGTGTAAAAAAAAAACAAAACCCCGTAATGCTTGATCGAGACTAAGAGGGCTCAAAGTGAATGGGGGTAAATCCATAATGTAGTCAAATAATTTGGTAGCGCCTAAGTGAAAAAGCCCATAGGCTAGTAAGCAAACTAGAACTTCATTTATTCACTCTAGATGGTAACGCTTACTTCTTTTTCTTTTTTTCAGAACTCCCGCTCATAGACTAGTGGATCAGGAAACCATTACTTCCATTCAAGATTAAACGGAATCGGGCACTCGGTTCCATCCTTCGAGTTACCGCACGCGATTACTTGTGCCAAGGCGGCGGGCAAGCGGCGATAAACTCACTTTCCCCCCGCTAGGAGGGGCGGAGGCCTCGCTGAAAACACGTTGCTAGAGAACATCGGAAGACGCCACGGGCGCACAGGGGAAACCCGAGAGCTGCTACCGCCGTCCGCACGTTGTTGGGGTCCCAACGCTCCCGCCCCGCAGTCCTCGTACTTATTTGAGCGCCGCGGCGGTTACAGGCCGCCTCCTTTCGGGCACGCGCCGCCCTCGCGGCCGCGGCTCGCGAGCGCCCTTTGGCCCCGCCCAAGCCGCGCGCTCCCGTCAGTAAACAGATGCCATGCGCGGATGGAGGGAAGGCGGGCCGCACGCCTGTCACGGGTAGCTTCCTGTTGGGAGGCGCGGACGCCTAGCAGGGAGGAGGAGAGAGCTTAATAGCAGCCGAGACAGAGCGCAGCACAGGGAAAGGGGCAGGCTTCGCCCCGCCGCAGCTAACTTTCCGTCATGGCGCCCCGCCGATCTTTCTCGGGGTCCGTGCTGCTGCTGGTCCTCGTCGCGGCTGTCGGGCACGTCGCTCCGGGAGCGGCCGTGGAGCCAGGCGGTAAGGGAAGCCCTTCGGCTAGCTGGGAGGAGGCGTGGGGGATCGAGGCAGCCTCGGGCGGGGTCGTTTTTCTGGAAGTCTGCGGGAGATGCTCGCCTCTTGTGCGCTACGCCCCTGCAGCAGCCCCTCTCCTTTCCTTCCCTCCACCCCTTCCCTGGTCGCTGCCCTTCTCTGCGGGTTCGTAACAGCTCCCGGTTGAGATCTGAGGCGAGGAACAAGCCGCATAGGCTGAAGTGATTTGAGCGTCCCCGCTGCGGCACGGCCTTGGGATCTGCTGGGCTTACCTGCGTGTTACCTGTTGGAGAAACAGTGTGTGTGTTGAGGACTTTGTAACCAAGTTCTGCTCTGTTGAGTCGATTCCAATAAAATTCTAAATACATGCTTGCCATCTATAGTTAGATGGCAGGCACCATCGTAAGGTTTTCGCCTTTTCTAGGAAGGGATGCCTCTACCATGCACGCATCTTAAAACAAAGTGCTTCTTGTTTCAGAACTCCTAACAGAGTTTTGTGTACAGTACTTATAGATCCAGCGAACTGATTCATTAAATACACAATCCTATGTAAATTTTGACAGAAAGAAGGCCATGCTGGAAGTTGTAGGCGTTTTTCTGTTATATTTACATAGCATTATGTTCTAAAACTGCATTTCTGTACCTTTATTTAAAACTTGCATATGCTGTCCTTTATGTATGACATCTTAGGATGGCTTACTGCTTAGAATAATTAAAATCAGACTTTTAAATAACGTCTTTTAAACTAGATAGATATTCCTTCTCAATTGCCAAAGGGAGTACACTGCTAGACTTGTTTAATGTAGTTGTAAGAAACCCCAAACTGTAACAGAGCTTGAGAAAGTCACATGTTGATGTATTATGTATCTGTTCCTGTTGGACTAGATTCCTTGAGTTGAAACTGTGGTTGAGATTATTGGTTTCCTTAATCTCTGGACTTGATACTGAATGCATTTGTTATCTGAACTAATATTTGTGAGACTAAGACGTGTGCTCTAGCAAAACTTCTGATATAATGCCATGTGACAAAGATTAGCCCTTAGCACACTTTAATTGCTTGTACTGCTGGTGGATTTAAAGGACACTGGTAGCTTAAGTGGAAATTCTAATACACAGAGAAACTGAAGTCTGAACATGGTAGAAGAAGTTGGGAGTAAGTAATATGTCAGCAAAAGAGTAATTTTAAAATAATGCTGATGTCAGTTGATACTGAATTTAATGACTTGGCGACTAAACCCTAAAAGTCAGCCTAGAAAGATTCTTAATGCAGTCTAAAACATGAGGAAAAAAGCTCAGTTGAACATAAGCAAAAATTTGTTTCCATTTGCCTGCATAGGATTGCACTGCAAATATTCTGTCTATCTGAAATGGGACCATAGTTCATGGTAGAGTGCATGTTTTTCATGAAGGAGGTGTCAAATTTGATCATGGTATCTCTGATGAGAATATCAACTGAAACAGAATGGAGAATACTATGCTAAATCCAGATGTATGTCAGTTGGCACCTGTGACAGAGGTATCTGACATGGCAACATAGAAAGCAAGTTAATGAAATAAATGCCCTGACTCTGAACTGTTTCCTTGAAATTGAACTAAATAATAAGTTTGTCCTCAGAATTGTATACCAGACGTAAGATTTTGTTCACTAAAGTTGATAGTGAGCTTTTTATTTATTTATATTTAAATTATAGGCTGCTGAATAACCCAATAAATCTCTCTGAGCAGCAGAACAACAATAATACAGGCCAGCATTACAATTCCAATTTACTGTGGGGTAGGGCGAGAAGAAAGGGGGAAACAAACTTCTGGTAGCTGAGTGAACTCTCACAATCAGTTGGTAAAATCAGGCCTCAGAATACCCAAGAAGTATTTTTTTGACCTGGTGTCAAAATATAAGTAGAGATTGCTTCTCATGGACTTCTAGGAAGCCCATTCCAAAGGTGGGGGGCAGTCACCCAGAAGGCCCTTCTTTTAATCATCATCCCTTTTCCTTCCTTTAGGAATGGCTCTTTCAGAAGGACCTCATTCCCAGATCTCAATGGGTGGGTAGGAGTATTTGGGAAAAGGTGGTCCTTCAAGTAAACTTACCTCATTAATAAACAATAAACTTGTACACTAGTATTTGAAATCTTAATGACCTTGTATATTACCTACTTAGTGTATCTCCCTGGTAGATATTGTGACAAACATAAAGAGGTAAAGAACTTTGGTTACCCCAGGCTTAGGAGCTTCCTCTTTGTAACTGTTGCTTAATAGCCACTTTTCTAACTTTGTGGTATAAGTGATAGTTTGTGGGCTGTGGGCTTTCTTAATCTTCTCTCTCAAAATAACTAATCACACACAATCACAAGCAACAGGCACTCAATCACAAGTAGAGCATGCCCTTATTTTTTATTTCCCCCACTGAAAGAATGTAATGGAAGGGAGGTGGGGAACACAGAGAGACTAACATAAAGTACTGTTCGTTTATAATTAACATTCTTGCACTCTACTTTCACAACAGGTTGTCAACAATATACAAATAAAACTTGTGAGGAATGTCTGAAAAATGTCACAGTAAGTAGCATATGATTATCAAATAATTCCTTTTGTAAATTGAAATCCTGTGTGAACCTGCTGTATTGCAATGATCTTAAAGGTCAGCTGGACTCAGATCTGTTTAGAGTTCTTTTAATATGCACCATAAATCCCAGTGAGTATAGATGTATTCTGCATGTGCAGAGAGAATGCATGCATAGGATTTTCCCTGACATAGAAAGAGCTGTTGGATTACAGCTAGGTGGAAAACCACCGATCCCATTAGCATAATGAATGATGCTGTAGTGGATGAAAAATAATTCTCAAGAGAAATTACATATGTAATTCCAAAGGGCTATTGTAAAGTTTCCTGCAGAACTAAAAACATGTTGAGATTTGTCCTGCCACACAGCTGAATGTCTTTTTCCTTCTGAAACCTGTGAAGGACATGTATTCACAGCCTAATGTTACTTTGAAACTGTCAGAACTATATGATTATAGGTTGATATTCTACACAGTTGCCCTTGTGATGACATTGGTGGTCTTCCTAGTAAATAAGGTTAAGGTCTTGTTTAGATTAACTGGTAATGACTTTTGGAGTAGTTTCAAAACAGTTTTATTCATCTGTTACATTTCTGTACCACCCAAGGGTGAAAAACTTGGCAGTTCACAAAAAATTAAAACCCTGGAATGTAATATAATGCATAATATAAAACTTTAACATCCAAAAATTGAATGTGGCTTGAAAAAGTTAAAACTACTAACAGTAAGCTGCCAGGACCTGATGAAACAACTAACATTAAAAAGTCCTGTCTTATGCTGTCAGATGCCTGGGGGTAATGACAGTCTTATGATTGCTCAAGCTTTAATGTGCATTTTCAGATCACTTGAACTAATTATGAACTCACCATAGCCCCTTAGGAGGAGACTACATCTGCCAAGTTTCAGGGAGGAAAAGATACAGGGACCTTTGTGCTATATACCTTAAAACATTTATTTGTGAAACAGTAAATTGTCAGGGTTGCCAGGCATTCTGCAAAGCAAGGACTGTCAGCGCTGGGAGGAGTGGCTGCTCCTACTGGCTCCAGCTGAGCCCCTTTCTCTGTGTAGGGATAGACATTGAACTCTTCCTTTCCCAGCACTGAGGAGGGTTAAAATTGAGGGAGCTGGGAATAATCATTACTGGATGTGGCCATTACTACTGATATTATCCATCCTCCAAAAGATCTGGCCAACCCCAGAATATTTCTGCAGCCCAAAGGCAATGGATGCTGAAGCAATGTGGCAGTGCTGGAGCAAGAGAACAGGAGCTGGTGAGGCTGGGGAGCATTGGTGTGCCAAGATTACTGACAAGGCATCGGTGAGATGCCATATCATCACTAGAAGTGGTTCTAATGAACTTTCAGACACAGCCTGAGAAGATATGCTTTGTTGGTGAAGAAAGTAAAAGAGGCCCAGGGAAAGACACATCTGCCACCACCACAAGAAACCAAGCATGACCAGCATAGGTAGTGGATTTTTTAATATAAATGTAAGGAGAATGATATGAACAAAGAAATAAGAACTGTATTGTAAATAATTCTGTTAAGGAAAAGGGCATGTTGGATTAAACTGCTTCACTCCCTCAATTACAAGAGGAATTAGCAAGAGAGCATAAGCTGGCAAATGCAGAGGATGGATCAGCCACAGAACTCCAGAAATGGAGCTTACATATACTGTTCAAGAAATTACAACTTAAAATTCATTTAACTGGACTTAGGAAGCAAAGAATTTGACAAGAAAAGCTGGCAGGAATTAAATTATTGTGAATACACAATCTGTTTGTGAATGCAAAATGTACTGAATGTAAATAGGAACAAAAAGGGAGAAGAACCAAGCTAAATTGGTGCCTTCCAGAAGTTTTGGACTATAACTCCCATAATACCTGACCATTGCACAGGCTGCTAGCACCAATAGATGAAGGACAGTAAGTTGCCTTGGTATCAGTGTTGCACCATCATAAGATCTCTGATCTGCCTAACCACCCAGGTAATGGTCAGCACTAAAGAGATGAGCTCAACATGCTTTTTCCTGTAAGCTGATAACAGCATGTTCGATTTCTTTTTATAAGGAGCAGGTCAAAATAGGCCAAACTATTTTTGCTTGTAAAAATTAGTTACATATACAGAAGTGAGTCTCACATTGTTGCATAACCTTCTTACCAAACAAATATCAGTTGCAAATTTATATTGTAAGCCCATTTAACTTTGTGTGAAATAATACTGAGTAAACTTCTATAAAATCAGGCTGACATCTTCTGCCACCCCAGTCAAAAATTCTTATTCTACACTTTCTGCAGTCCTGTCACTAGCTCAAAGGAAATAAATTTTAACAAGAAGAAGCTATCATTGTTATTAAAAGTATTCTTGGGTGGTTTGATCTTGTATGTGTTTTGCAAGAAATCTCCTGATGGAAATGAAAACTGCTCAAAATGGTTCGATGTGGATCAACACAGCTTGTATTTTTGGACTGTCCTTAGAAATTACAAGTATACAATTTGAGTTTGCTTAACAAAACACATCCTTCCTGTTGCAGTTGACTGTGTCAGATGAAAAAGGGATTTGCTTGGAATACAGTGTTGCATGAGCCAGCCACACTAGTGTGTGTGTGTTGTGGTTGGGGGGGGGGGCTTGCTCTGTCAAACCTGTGCTGCTGTGCAAGAACCTTGTAGCCTCTTGTCACTTTTCTCAGGCTGTGTATCCCTACATGCCAGCAGTTGGTGGGGGGGGGGAGTAGAAAACAGAAGGAAAGTCATTGTGACAAACCTGTTTCACTGGATCTGAAATGAGCACATGACATAGGAGTGGAGAAGAAACTGTAGTTGCGGGATGGAGAATTGCTTGCAAAAGAAGAAGGGAAGCAGTTCATTGCAAAAAGAAAGGTGTGTTGAGTATGCTGTTAGTATAAGATGGAAAGATGGCACAAGAGATGGACCGTGTGTGGGAGCAGTATATAGTAAGGTTGCAGGGAGGGAGATGAACAGTCTTGGCAAGGTCAAACATCAGAGTAAATGGCCTGCTTGTATGAGGTTCATAGGATGGAGTAGTGAAAAATAACCTATTTGTGGGCAGGAGCTGGTAAGGAAAAAGGAAGGCAATTGATTGAAGGTCTCTTCAGGGAGCGACAGGGTAACAAGGCAAAAGATGGAAAGGCAGTAAACATGTGGATTGAGGATTACATGAGAGCAGCTGGCTGTAGTGCTGAGGGAAACAATTCTTTTTTTTTTTTTTTTTTTTAATGGAACCCAGAAAGTTGAGGTTGGTTTGGCTTTTTCTTCATTTTTGACATGAAACTGATTTTTTCTGACATAAAGAGAAACACCAAAAAACCCCAATAAGAAACCTAACTAGGTAAGAGTGATCTCAATAAACTTTGGCTGGGAAGAGGAAGCTTCATGTACAAAATAAAAATTTTGACTTTTCTGAAACTTGCACTGTTTCTTAGAAGTGCTTGTAGCATCCAGCCATGTATGCAGGATGGCAAACTGCATACTTGAACAGAGCCCTTGTTACTTCTAGCAACTATTAATATGCTGCCTTCTATAGTTGATGAGTCAATTGAAGAGCTTATTTTAAGCATTGTACCCATTAATGAAATTGCAAGAGCAACTAATTGAAAAATTAAAATGTGAGATTAGGCTTTAAGTCAGTGCCAAGGATTCTCTTTTTATAGTCTGTACCTAGTTTATGGAGTGTGATAATTGCATGAATTTGCTGTTCTGTAAACTGATGAAAAGATGAGAAGCAGACCTGCTACCAGATTCCTTTATGTTCAAAAATTGGAGTGGCCAGATTATGTAGCTGTGAGCACACATGGAGTACACACTATCAGTTCAGTATGAAGACTTTCAAGCTCCTTATGCTGTCAAGTCACACTTGGTACATTGAGGAATATGTAGCAACAGTTCAGTGCATTTGGAATGAGTGCATTGTAAATAGTTGACAGCTTAAGACTTCCTATGCATCCTTCCTCTAATAGCTGACAGCTATCTAAAACCTAGACCTGTGAAGTCTAGATACATTTGCTGAAAAACTGCCTGTTGAATATGTGATTGTACTAGGGCAAGGGTTGGAGAAAAGTCTATTGAGAAGTGAATTGTATGAACTTTTAACTTACCAGTAACCATACTAGTGCTCATTTGTTTGCTAACAGTGGGCAGGTTTGCATGACTCTTTAACCTCAGGGGGGCCCACCCTGGACTTAAACTTGCTGGGAAGGGGCTGTGCATCCCCTTCAGTCCTCCAGCCAGTCTCCAGGGGCACCATGCTGGAGTGCTGAGTGGAGTAGGATGACAGTCATTCCTTTCCTGCTGCTTGGCTGTGGTATATCCCCACTGAGCAGCAAGGAGAGGGCCTGGACTGCCTTGCCCTGGGTTTCCAAGTCCAGCACAAGTGATGTGCTGCACCTGAGCAGTGGGGAGCTGGGGCCTTCCTTATCCACTGCTCAACTATGGCATGTAGGAAGGGAGACACAGGTTCTGGCAGGCAGAATTGCCCCTGCAACCTACTAGCAAGCACTTTGTGAGTCAGGTTGTGAAGGGTGGAAGGGCCCACCTGGCTGCTTTCTGTCAAGAAAACAAAGCTAATGTGATGGCATGTTATCAAAGGTTTTACTGTGCTAGTAACCTGCTACTTGATGACTGAGGTTGTTCTTGACAGTGCCCTGTAATCAGTAGATTATCAGTATTCCTATATATATATGGAACTGTTCTCATGAAATGGCAATATTTGGTGGCAAATTATGGGTTTAATTAACCCAGATTTGTGGGGCAGAGCACTTCATAGGAACCCTTCTAGTTTCTGTAAAACAAAAACCAAACAAACTACAAACTTCCCATTCATGGGTTATTAACATGAAATTGAAACCCTGGCACATCAGCTTATTTAAAAGTTGAACAACCTGAAGTTACCATGGGTTAACTTTGAGTTGCTTAAGCCATGAACAACCCAAATGTCTGGGTTCAAATCTTACACTAACAACTATGAATGAGCCAATCATTCAATAGGTTGCTGTTTAAAAGCAAAAGTGGTAGGAAAAGTAGTATTTCTATTAGAGTATGACAATGCATGGGTTGTTATTACATATAAACTAGGTTTATGTTGGCACATAATTCTGTGCTTCTTGCACATTTAGCTGATTTTTGCATTCTTTGTTTGTTTGAAATAGTTGCATTTCCTTTTTTCCAGTGTTTATGGTGCAGCAGTACCAAAAAATGCATGCAATATCCTGTTCGGAATATTCTGCCTCCCAGTTCACTTTGCGAGTTGAGTTCAGCACGCTGGGGTGTTTGCTGGGGTGAGTGACTCCTAGAAATATTGCTTATATTTGTTGTTGATACTTTTGTCTTTGTTGCCTCCTTCCCTGAAAGTAATGTTTTTTTGTGACAAATAACTTTTTTTGGGGTGAAACAATTTGAATGTTGATAGGTTAAATATAAGAACATAAAAAGCCATGCTGGATGAGACCAAAGATCTATCTAGGCCAGCATTCTGTCCACCCAGTGGCAAACCAGCTGCCCAAGTACAAGGGATGGGTACATGAGCTCTGCCTGCCCAAGCAGCACAGCAACTGGTGCATGCAGGCATGCCATCTCTGGTTAAAAAAAAAAAGGTAACACATTGCCAGCTAGTAGCCGTGGATAACCTTCTCCTTCATCAATCTGTGCAATCACCTTTTAAAGCCTTCCAAATTGGCAGCCATCACCACTTCCTGTGGTAGTGGATTCCATAGTATAACTATACATTGCGTGAAGAAGTCCTTCCTTTCATCTGCCCTAAGCCTTCTACCAGTCAGCTTCATGCGCCAACCCCAGGTCCTATCATTTTGGGAGGGGGAAAATGTCTCCACACCATGCATTAATTTAGACACCTCTATCTGTCATGTCTCCCTTTACTCAACTATTTTTTAAGCTAAACAATCCCACTTGTTGTAGCTACTCCTCAAAGAAGTGCTGCTCCAGACCCTTGATCACTTTCATTGTCCTTCTCTGTATTTTTTTTCCAACTCAATGTCCTTTTTCAGGTAAGACAGAACTGAACACAATATTCTAAGTGTGATTGTACCAACACTTTGTATTAGGGGAGCAAGATCTTGGCAGTTCTGTTTCTGTTCCATTCTTAATTATGCCTAGCATGGAGTTTGCCCTTTTCACAGCAACTGTGCACTGGGCTGACATTTTCATTGAGCTGTCCACTACTACCCCAAGAACCCATTTTTGTTCAGTCACTGCTAGCTCAGATCCCATCTTGAAGTTGTTATTTTTGCCTCGACTTGCATCACTTTTCACTTTCTTACATGAACTGTATTTACATTTTGATGTCCATTTTTCCAGCTTCAAGGGATACCTTAGAGCTCCTCTAATTTTCTTTTGGCTTTAACCACCCTAGTTTGGTGTCATCATTGTTTACTCCCAATTCCAGTTTATTTATAAATAGGTTGAGAAGCATTGGTCCTAATGCAGAACCTGGTAGAACTCTACTGGTTACATCTCTCCATTGGGAGAACTTGTCATTTATTCTCACTCTCTTTTCTTTTTTAACCAGTTACTGATCCATAAGAGCACCCCCTTTATTCTATGGCCATTTAGCTTGCTCAGGAGCCTTTGGTGCGGGACTTTGTCAAAAGGCTTTTGGAAGTCCAAGTAAACAATATCTACTGGATTGCCTCTGTCTATGTGCTTATTGACAGTCTCAGAGAATTCCAATAGGTTAGTGGGACAGGACTTTCCCTTGCAGAAGCCATGTTGATTTTTTTTTTTCTCCAGCAGCAGGGCTTGTCCTTCTATGTGCTTACTGATTCTGTCTTTAACAATGCATTCTAGCAGTTTACCCAGAACAGATGTTAAGCTAACTGGCCTGTAATTCCCCAGATCCCTTCTGGATCTTTTAAAAAAATAGCTCCACTTCTTGGTTGTCTATATGTGAATAAACTTACAATATTTAAGTGAAAGTATTTGTATTTTCAAATAAATGCCTGGACCTCCTCTTAAACTTTGCAAAGGAAGCAGTTGTTGCCATTGGGTTTTTTGAAATCCCTTGCTCACTATCTTTGTTTTTTTTTCTTTAAACATTTCAGTGAATTTTGAAGCTCTGATTATTGCCATGTCCGTGGTGGGAGGACTAATCCTCATAACGCTTTTCATTTGTTGCTGTTGCTGCTGCAGGAAGAAGAAGAACAGAAAGCAAGTATCTGAACATGTTTTCTATATATAAATACTAGTATTATACTTGATCTTTATAAGCCCATCAAGTTAAGACATGCATGCTCATATTTGTCCTAAATACTCTGATTTTGAAAAGGCCTGATAAAGAAGATGAAAAAGCTGCCAGGGAGAGAGAGCAAAGAAGAATAAGACAGGAGGAGAGGTAAGTTGTTTTCAACTTGAGGATGCCTGGCAGACCTACTGTCTTCTAGCCTTTGGGTGGTTAGTTAAGTCCAGATGTTTGCAGAAAATACCTAGAATAACAGCCAGTTGCAGTCTATCTTTACTTGTTATCTTCTGTTGTGATACAATATTTAGCTTTTGATACCTATTTTGTGGTGATTGTGGAGGACTTGGGCACCTCTAAGTATCTGGAAATACACTGTAGGCTGCCTTTAAGGTTCTATTGGAAGCCAAAAGACATAGTGTAAGATGAATCTGAATGTAGTTAGTTGAAAGCAAGCATCTTAAATGCCATTAATTTCCTTCCTACTTGGTAAAGAAAAATGTTTTTAATAACTTACTTTATACATTTTAAACATCATGATAATACTTCATATTTCTTGTAGGAGAGCAGAGATGAAATCTAGGCATGATGAAATCCGGAAAAAATATGGTAAGAATTGGCTGCTACTAGCTGAATGTATAATATACTTCATCTCCATGTGCCACATAACAGTTTATTACACTGAACATTTGACATTAGCTGTGGTCCTCAATTTTTGCCTAGCCTTCTTAGCCAGGTCAGGAACTGGTTACCAATATCTTGTTCATCCCCTTGCGATCTTGTGGAGGTCCAGCATATAGTCAGAGTCAGGAAAACTCCTTGGCACCCTTCCTGGTTTGTATGTGTCTGTGTTTCTGCCTGCTGCAGTAAGGATGATGAATCCATCCTAGAAACTGCAGATCTGGAAAGGGATTATCCCCGCAGTTCAATTCAGCTAAGGAATTAGAGATGGAGAAATTTGCCTCTGAAGCAGCATAACATTATTTAGCCTTTTTCTAATTAGACTTGCACAGAATTCCTCATACACAACCTGTCAAAAGAATGAATGTTTCTTATCAAGAACTCTGCATTATATAACTTAAACATATCTGCAAAAAAATAAAATGCACTTGTGAAAAGCAGTTTTAACAATAACTGGTAATGTCAAAAGTTTAACTGTTAAGTATGAAGTTGGTTCATTGGAGCTTTATGTAATGCTGAATGCTAGTCCTCTATTGCATGAGTTAATTGTATAACTGAAAATCTGGGAATTCTGTGTGATTACTTGAAAATATTAACATTTTTTTGAAAATATGAAATTTGTAATCTGAATTTTAAGTTACCTTTTCAAGTATCAAAGGCACTTTGATAATTTGGGGTAAAGTGGGCAATAGCTCACGTTCTTGGAATTTGTCATTTGACAAGAATTTGCTTGAACAGGAATTTGGTAAGTTGATACTAAGTTCATGGCTTCAGTCAGCTTGTTTATTATCAGATTAATACTTTGGGCATAGGGCAACAACCAGTTTCTGGCTAAGCCAAAATGCTATGCTATGGATATAATTTGCAGCATTTAAATATAGTTCTCTAAAAATACATTGCAAAAAAGGAGATACTGCTTTATGACCAAATGTCACATTCTGTAAAATACTTCCTTGGATACTCAGTCCATTCAACTGTGGATTATTCCATGGTGCTCCAATTTTTTTGAGTGGAAAATTTGTTTTGTTCTTGTAGGTTAATTATATGTATTTTTCATGAGCCACCCAAAAATATATATCGATGGGTGACCTATGCAAATTTAAGTAAATATCCTTTTAATCACTATTAATTTCTTTTACTGCTAGGCAACTACTCCCCCCCCCCCCCCGCCAATTTTCTCATTGGCATTTTTGTCCTTACTCTAGTCTTCTCCAAGATGATGACCTCCCTTTGTGTTTGACTACAGCTCCCTGGATGGGTGGAATATTTTGGGAGTTATATACTACCATATCTGGAGGGCTCTGTTACCCTTATACCTTCAGTTGCTTTTCTGACCAAATGTTATTTCCTTTCCAGGTTTGTTTAAAGAAGAGAATCCATATACCAAATTTGAAAACAACTAAGATTTTTTTGAGATCCAAAATAACCTCTTGCAATGCTGTCTATTGAATGTGCAGTACAGCTGCTAAAAGATCCTGTAATTTTAGATGCCTTAATTGCAAATGGAAACACAGTCTTTAATGTAAGACAAAGCCAACTGTAACTGCTATAGTCCGTAAATAAACAGATGAACAGATGCCAATATACCTCTGAATATCTGGATGCCTCCTCAGGCTGCAAAATACTATACTTTTGTTCTCTGTTTGATGGGTGCCTATGTCAATATGGCATCTCACTTGTTTTGCATAACTTTTGTTTGCTAGTCAAGTCTTGAACAAACTCTTTCATCAAGTGGGGAAAGGACAGTACACATTCTGTCTTTAGTCTTTTCTGTGAGCAAAAATTTGTAGCTTTTTTAAAGTAAGGGTGAGAGTAAGATAAGGTTTCTTGTGTCCTTCTTGGTTACTTGGAAAAATAATAGCTGAGTACGTTGTATAAGAGGAACTTAAGCCTTAAGTAAATTGTGCCACTAGCAACAAGTGCCTAAATAGTTCTAGAAAACATTTTATTTGCAACACAGGTGTTTTTATCATGATTTGCAACACAGGTGTTTTTACCATGAAATGTGAAGGTTTGCACTTTTATATGCTGACATTTTTCCTGTGCTGATTGTATGGGGTTGTTCTTGTATCATTCTTACGTAGTATCATATGAAGTTTATACTGGTGTTTGTTAGATGGCTGTTTGTTTCAGTACTTCTGAAACTCCAATTGAACTACTCTATAAGGCTTGTAATAGGAAATTACCAATTCCTCATCGGATCAGAAGCAATGTATAATCTTGGAAAGAATGTCTCTTGTAACCAAATAAGCAGAAGAATGAAAAGGCTTCTTTCTGAATTAAAGAACAGCAATAAACCATGAGGTTGATTTCTGCTGCCTGGAATTAGTCCTGGTGATAAAATCTTTTGGCTAGATGGGAGAGCCTGTTTTTCAGGCTGTTCCACATCTGACTCATTGATTTTTTTTTCTAACAAGGCAGATCAAATCATTTGGAAAATCACTTTTCTAATATGTAAACTAGAAGAATGGATTGAAAAGACTAATATGAAAAAAATGGAAGGGTGTTTGCTTTAAAAAGATATTTTCATTAAACCAAAACAGTTGTTAAAGAAATATCTTGAATACTGCAGCTTTCTGAGAAATGAATGAAACAGTACTAGGCCATCTGTGCAGAATTTAATGAAGAATGTGAAATGGCACTGACACCATTGTAACTTTTTCTTCAATGAAAAGTGAAGGATGGGAGAAGGTTTAAATGTAATATTTCATGCCCTTGTCCTCTTTTTAAAAGAAGGATATTACTCTGAGATATTGTTAATACTCTGTTATAATCTTAAACTTCGTTTTGGTGTTGTCAGTGACACAAACACATACAGTATTTTTAATCTAATATATTTACTCTTCCATTGATTGCTTTATATAAAGTTCATAGTAAACCCTGGAGAACTTTGCGGAGACCTGCCTAAAATGTATATTACATTCCAGAAATATAGGATATTGTATCATGAACACTTTCATATAACTCTTGTTATGTTAATAGTTAAAATTCAACTAATTATTAGCTATAATGAAATCTGTAAATTATTTGGCTAACAAAAATAAACAAATTTAATATCATATAGTCTTTTCCTGTTGGCATTCTACAATTCTATTGCCCGCTTAAGCATTAATGTGGAAAATGAGATGTGAGCTCAAATGATCATTTGGTTCCTTTATAGAGAATTGAGGGTCAGGCCTGGGTGAAATCTGGGTGGGTCACCTAATGTTGGTTCATTCTTAAGTTACAACTGGAAATTGAAAGCAGGAGTTATCAGGTAAGGCACAATCCTATGCAAGTTTATGCATTGGAAGGGCCAACAACTCCAGTACCCCGCATGTAGGCCTTTTTTAGGTCTCAACTGCTATTGAATTGCAGCCTTAGTCACATAATTCCTAGAATTATGATGCAGAAATAAATCCTTAAAGAACCATCATACACACAGATAATTATTTCATATATTACTGTTTCCATTTCAAATAGGTTATAGCAAATTGTTGCAGCTGGATGACCCTCAATACAAAGAGGAATGAAAAACACATATTCTGCTTAAGAGTATTTTAATAACCAGGCAAGTATGCGTAGGATTGCAAATGACAAACACTAGAAACTGACCTCTGATATACTGTGACTTGTTGTGACATTTTGTAATACATTGCATGTTTTATGTTTTTAAATTGCTGATTTGTAAGCTGTTCTGAGAGCCATTCTGGCTAATTGATCGGGTTATAAAAATCATAAATAAAGCTCTGTTCTGTGGAAAGAACCTAAAGAGGTTTCTGGAAATATGACCGGGGCTTTCCTAGACAATCTAGCAAATAGGGCTGCAGCTTTTACAACAAAAGGGGCAGCAACCTGTTATAATGACAAGTACCGATGCCCCAAACTAGCATCTGCCTCAGTAGCAGAAGACAAGGCTGAAAATGGTGGTGTTTATGATTTCTGACAACATTCTCAAGAAACCCTTGAAATATATTAACATTCAAGTACTTACAGTATGGGTGGCACAGTGGTTTAAACTGCTGTGCTGCTGGGCTGGTAGATTGAAAGGTTGCCGGTTCGAATCTGCACAATGGGGTGAGTTCCCGTTGCTCCATCCCAGCTCCTGCCAACCTTGCAGTTCGAAAGCATGCAAATGCAAGTAGATAGAAAGGCACCACTTTGGTGGGCAGGTAACAGCGTTCTGTGCACTTCGGTGTTTAGTCACGCCGGCCACATGACCAGGGAGACTGACTGCGGCCAAACGCTGGCTCCCTGGGCTAGGAAACGGAGATGAGCACCGCCCCCTAGAGTCAGGCATGACTGGACTTAACGTCAAGAGGAAACCTTTATCTTACTTACAGTATAAAGGATTACATTACTCAGTGTTGTCCCATCTGTGGGAGATCAACAGGAAGCCTCTATCTGCCGTGGTGGGAGGAGAGTGTGCATGCATGCATGCAACAGTGTTCTGGCCAACCATGCCTTCTAGCAAAGTTTTTGAATACCCATTCTAAGTTTAAGCACTGAACTAAATGTGTATCATTCGGAAGCACTACCCACTATGTTGTGCCAATGGCTGAAGTGTAAAACCTTCACAGCAAAAGGCTTAGACACATGCAACATAAACACTGGAGCCTTGTTTGCTGTTCCAAGGAACTTTCAAGAGAATTTCAATTAGATGTTCAGTCTTACTGACACATGCCACATCTTGCTGTCAAATTGATCAAAGGAATAATTGAGGGTTTTGGCTGAGAGTTTTTACATATGTTAACTAGATTAACTTCTCCAATTTTTCTTTCAAAACTCTTGGGTGTGGCAAAAAAACACTGGTGTTTCTTCTGTGCGTTTTCCCTATAATCAGGCCACTACAGAGTGATAAGAATCTCAGCCCTTACCATACTTCTAACTCCCTCTTTTTAATGGTAGGTATTTCCACTATTAGCTAAGTAATGCCTACTCACTAACATTTGGGTTTGAGGCAGTCAACCAAAAAAACCCTTCTCATAAGGCAAACATCATCAAAAATGGGTTTGTCACAAGTTTTATCTGAGATGTTACCTTTTCCAGGAAATGGATTCACTGGAGTGAGAGGGGGCTCGTCCTAGAGATAAGAATTATTCTTACCAGGCCAAATATCCTTGATTATTTTCTAAAAAGGATCCTGAAATAGACTAGTGCCAAGTCACCTTCTCTGAAGCTACAATTCTTACCTGGCCATAATTCCCATTGAACTCAATGGACTTTATTCCTAACATGCACTTACCAGCATGACAGTCCAGTAATATCATTGTTTGCATACTAGGTGTTTTTTTCCTTCCATTAAAAGCATCCACAAGGTCTTCCTGTAGTTTTCAATTTAACACAAAAGCAGGGGGTTGGACCTGATGGCCTTCATGGGCCCTTCCAACTCTACCATTCTGTTTCTGTGAAATGTGCGAATAATTGGAAATGCCTGTTTTTATTTGTATGATTTCTCTTAGTGACATGGTGAGTCACCAGGAGAAATCAGTAACCCAGAATCTATTCTGATTCTTTGTTGCTTTTGAGGTACAATTTTGACCTATAAAGCAAAGACCACAGTGACCTTACTTCATCAATTTATCTCTGGGCTCCTTTGCAAAGGGCACAATGTACTTGCCCTTAAAACTGTGCATAGAATTGTCACTACCTGTAACAGTGTTCCGTGCACTTCTGTGTTTAGTCATGCCGGCCACATGGCCACGGAGACTGTCTGAGGACAAACGCTGGCTCCCTTGGCTAGGAAATTGAGATGAGCACCACCCCCTAGAGTCAGGCATGACTGGACTTAACGTCAAGGGGAAACCTTTACCTTTACCTTTTTATCTGAATCAGGAAGTAATTTTTAAATTCAGCTCTAGTTATGCATTTGTAAGACATACTAATAAACTTTAGTACACAGCACTTTGTATTTCATATTACCAATATTTATTAAAGTAGAAACCAGGAGTGATGAAATATAGAAGCCTACCTTAACACAGCTTTTAATTTACAGATTGAATAACTAAGAGCAAATTCAAATTTAAGAAAATAACCAATGTCCATTTACAGAAAATGAGATGGAGGTGCAGGGACTTGTGCTTATACACCCACATTATTCTCACTTCTTAAAATGAAATACTTAAGCACTTCTTGTCTAAGTTCACTAATTCCCTCACTGACCAAGGTAAGACACCAAAAATACAAAAGGTCTCTTAGATATTTAAGGGACTTATGGAGGATGTACTTAGAGCTTTCATTTATTTTTTAAACTGGTTCTACACAGCCGTTCATAACGACATATCCTTGATATTTAAATAGCAAAATGCCTGCATGCAAATATGTATTTACATATGTAGAAGCAGCTCAGTCTCCTACACATGGTGGCAATAGCCATGCTGCATATAGTTCTCCTTTGGTCTTAGGACCTGCCCATCTTCTGTTGGTATCTTATTAAGATCCCTGAACCGGGCTGACTTCCTCCAGGTTGGGACATCGCTATAGCCCGACCTTACACTTCGGCTTTTAAGCATCTGTGGAAAATAAGGAGTTGGCTCCGCCCTTCCTCCCACGCTTGATCTGGCCACGCCCCCACATCGTACCTTCCCTACAGCCCCAGCGCTCCCACTTTTAACTGGCGATGACGCACCTTCGGCGCCATCGCCTCCTCCGCCCTAGTGACGCGCGCTCCCGACGAAGAGAGCATCGCTCGGGAGCGCGCATCGAGAACGTGCCCGCCTCACGTGATCCACCCAGGGCCAACCAAGACCCAGCGATTCTGGGGCGCGAAGCGCGTTCTCGCGGGCAGTTGCTGCGGGCGGGAGAGAAGAGCAGAGGAAGAAACGGGCTCTTAACGTGTGCGGACTCGCTCCCGGAGAGGTCTCTGCCTAACACGTCGCCATGTCCGAGGAGAAGCCTAAGGTACATGGGAGAGCTCCCGTTTTTCATCCTAGCCGCCTGTTCCCGTTCGTTCCTCGGGCGCCCGACTGGAGCCTAAGCCCACTAGGAGTTCGCGGTCGGGCGGGGGTGCGTCGCGTAGCGTCTGAGCCCTGCCGAGCTTGCAGTTGCATCCCATTTTCTAGCCCTTGTTGCTGCCGACAAGAGCTGGGTTTGGGCCCCCTGCAAGGGCAAGCCCGATCCCAGGCCTGCGAATCGGCGTTCCCCCGCCCCGGTTGTGAGCGAGAGCCGGATCCGCCTCACCCGGAAGGAGGGCGACTCGAGAGGGGGCGGCCCGTCCGCACTCTTCCTTCCCGGAGCTTCTGCAGGAATTGAGTCGGGCTCCTTGTCGGCGGTTAGGCCGCGTCGGCGCAACTTCCCAGCCAAGGCCGATCCTTTCTAGTCTGGGCCCCTCAGTAATGCGTCTCTTAACTGTGTGTTTCGCTTTTTATTATTTTGCGTGGTATTTTTAATGAAGTGCCTGTTTTGTGAATCTCCCAGAGAACATCTGTTATGGGGCGGCTCTAGGACTACAGTTATTTATTCATTTATTAATGAATTTTCCGCACCTCCCCACGCGCCGAGGCCCTTATTGTTAAGTGAAGTAGGCGACGCGCGACCACCACGCGGTTGCAGCCTGTTCAGGGAAGCAAAGCGCTGACCTCGACTTCCCTTTTCTTCCTTCCCGCTGCACCATGCGCAGTTGGAAATAGTTGCATCGGGTCAGGGCCCTGGTTTCAAAGAGATTCCCCCTCACGTTTGTGAGGATCACTCCCACGTGCTTCCTCAGTGAGGTAGCTAAGTAACCCTAGAACTGCACAGCTTTTGGAAAGTACATACACCTAATTTCGATGGAAGCTTTGAGCTCACATGCATAGGATCTGGCAGCAAACCTGAATAAAAGTATGCAGCCTAATTATGTTTGAGCAGAATTTCAACGCAGAGCTAGATGCCACTGAGTTCAGGAGTATACTATGATAGGGATTACATTGCAGTTTATTTTTTGTAGAACCATCACCTAAAATCGTCGAATATGCTGCCTTGTTAGATAGAGATACTGCAAAACACATTCCTATTAGTTTAAATCTACAAACTTTATCTAGAGTCAGTGGATATAAATATTGGGCATACAAAGAACTTAAATGAGGATTTTATAGATACATATGCTGTAAATAACCTTAAATGGTTTTTTTAAAAAAATCCCTATGAAAGTTTTTAAAGTAAGTGTACACTGTTCTAATGTCAAAATTAACTTTCTGTTAAATGGTTGACCACTGTTATCTAGTTTTGATTATAGTGGACTATAATGGATGACCAGGCTTGCCCAACACACATACGATGTATGTCAGTTGTTTGAGGGCTGTAAATGGGTACCCATGGGCAGTGGCAAGTGGGTGTGCAGGGTTGGTGGTCAGTGGCAAGTGGGCACTGAGCTGTGAACCACAAAATAAAAAGAGCCTCATGTGGCTCTGAAGCCTCGGTTTGGACACCTCTGGACTATAGTGTTAAATAGGTATTGTTCATTGGTACATCTAGGAAGATTGCAAATCACAGAGGGTGTTAATAGCTGTTTTCCCTCCTCCTGCAAGAATTGCATTCGGTAAAATTAAAATCCCAGAGAGGCATATTTTTGACAGAATGTATTAATTGGAAATCATGTTCCAGAATTGTTTCTGGAGAAGAGCTTTCTATTTGAGTTATGATCAGGCTCAGATTCATCTGTACATTTGAGGTTACTTCCTAGTAATAGCAGCTGTGGAAGTATAGCTCAAATACTAATAATATATTAAACTATCATTATTATATTACATTTATATCCTGCCTTTTTTCTCTTGTAAGAAACCCAAAACTACTATGAATGCATTAAAATTGTGATTTCTTTAAGGGGTTATTCTTTGTTTAAACTTACTGTGAGGGTTTTGTTTTTGTTTTGTTTTTGTTTTTGTTTTTTTTGTTTTTTGGTGTGGCCCCAACAAGTAGATTCAAAGTGGTATGAAATTAAAGATTTTTAAAATCAAAAGAAAGCAGAGTTAGCTGTAGTTATTGTACTTCCTTAACTGTAAAAATATAATATTGTAATAAAACATATTAAGTGTTTAATCAGCCTATTGGAATTTCATCAATTTTTTTCAACCTTTTTGGGAAAAAAATTCATGACCATCCCATCTCTTCTCTGAGATTTTTTGCTGCTGTTTTTCTGAGATCTGTGGAATAAAAAACTCATGTTTTTGTTAGTTTTTCTAAACCCAGGATCCTCTGTAGCAGAGGAAGGGCATTTTTGAATAGAAGATGATGGAGGAGCTGCCATATCATGGAAAGAGTCTGTCTCACAAATTTATATGCCAGCTTTTTCCCCTCAGGGAATGCAAGGCAAGTTACTTGGTTCTCCCCACAACAAACATGAGAGGTAGTTTAGGCCTGAGAGTCAGTGGCTGGACCATAGTGGACTTGATGGGTGAGTGGGGATTACAGCAAGGATTTCTTAAGTTCCAGTTCAATATTCTTTCCATTTCAGTGGGTCTCTTCGTGAAATTTAGAATAGATGGAGTACTGTTTCAAATGGAACATAGTTAAACCAAAAAATTTGCTTTCATGGGATCTAGTGATGACTGCCAACTTTAACAGCTTTAAAAGACATTTAAGACAAATGCACGAGGAATAAGGTGTTAGTGGGTACTAGTCATGATAGTTACATGTTCCTTCCAGGGTATGAGACAGCATACCTCTGAATACCAGTTGCTGAGGAACAGGAGCAGGGTTAATGTTCCTCAGCAACTGGTATTGCAGTCAAGGTTTTGTGGAATGCGTGTAGTCATCTGATTGGCTAAGGTGGGAACAAAATGTTAAAATAGATTGGTCTTTAGTCTGATTCAATACTGCTCTTCAAAAAGGTAAGGAGGCTGGAAACCAAGTCCAGTGAAGAATGGTGGAAGAATTAGATAGGTTTAGCTTGGTCAAGAGAAGATTAGGAGGAGACATAATAGCAATCTTGAAGTATTTGAAAGGCTGTCATGCAGAAAATACAGTGGTATTGTTTTCTGTTGCAGGACTAGAACGGGTGATCAGAAGTTTCAGGGAGGGAGAGTTATTAAATGTTATGAAGATTCCTCAACTTGTATACAGTGGTATAGACTACCTGAGGATTCAGTAGTTTCACTTTCACTTGAGGCTTTGAGCAGAAGCTGAATAGTTGTCACTATTCATGACAAATGACTGCACTGTTCATTTTATCCTGCACTGAATAGGAGGTTTGGTTATATGATTCTGAGGACATGTCCACCTTTATGATTCTGTGTTCTTATGTGAGAATAGTAGTACATTAGAGTTGTACAATAGTTACAGTGGAAGCTCCCAAATGCTAAACTTTGAAGGGGCAGGGTAGAGGTAATAGGAATATGTTTTAGGGCAACATTAGGTTGAAGTCAGATCTTATTGCTATCAGCGTGATTTAAGTCATGACTAATTTTATGTTAATAGAGTCTTAGGTGCAACCAATCTTTACTTCTCAGAAATAAAAGACATAAAGAGGTAGTAATAGCAAAATCCTGAAGACATATGGAGGGTGCCTTAAAGACTAACATTTATTACTGTCTAAATGAGCATCCATGTGGTGAAACACAAGAGAAAGGCTGTAATGGAAGAATTATTCATCTCTTTTGCTAATAGTCATTTTATACTGGGATACATTTGTAGTTTTTATCATTTCTTGTGAATAATTGATATCTTTTTCTTCAAGCCCAGAAAAGTTTTTAATTTCATGTAGATATACATTCCTTCCCCTTTCCTTCCCCCATCCCCCATGACTTCACAGTATGACAGAATAGTTGGGTCAGAAGGGGCCAGGAAGGCCATCGAGTCTGTCCTGCTAGTGCAGGATGCCAGTTACACCATCTAGATCAGATAATTGTCAAATTGCTTCTTGAAAGATTCTAGTGTGGAAGAGCACACAATCTCTCTTGGCAACTTGTTACACTGTTGTACTGCTCTCACAGTCAGGAAATTCTTCCTTGTATCTAGTGTCTTGTAACTTACTGCAGTTTATGCGGAAATACCTATGTAGATCCTTTAAAACAGGTGTTGAAGGTGGACAACCCACAACCAAGCCCTCTAAACATTCACATATGAGGGCGGGGATATAAATACATTTTAAAAATAAATCAGGTGACCTCTCCACACACACACACACACACACACACACAGCCCAGTGCAATTTGTGAATGAATTTCTTAATTACTTGTTTTTAAGATCAAGGAGTACCAGGACATTTTAGAATGGAGGGAAGTACAGGGCATAAAACAATTCCAGGGAAGTCAGGAAGAATAGAGATGAGGAATTTTCATACACACAGCTCTCTAGTTCTAACATATACTTCACCATTCATTTGTGGAGGCAGGAACTAGCACACACAAATATGGCTATTCCAGTCAGCGTGACTGTATTGTTCATACATTCTGACAGGGTATAATGCTGCTGTTTGATGAGGCTAGTATGTATTTTGTGCTATGTGAGTATTCCATTTTCTTTTTACTTTCTGGAAAGGCCCTTCTCAAGTTAGTTATTCTTCTGGTCTTGATGTGAAGTTACAAGAGTGCTGAAAGATTGTGTCTTTAGGTTCCTGTTGTGTTTGTTTTTCATAAGCCTAGGCTCTTGTTAGATGACCGCAAAAAAATAGCATCAACAAAAACTGCAGCTGAAGTAAATAGCTATGCTTGTTTGCCATTTTTAACAAAACTAGATAATGTACCTTTCATCAAACATGTCAGCTTTCCAACTGTCTTTCGGTTTGCAAAGTAACATCATAAATATAAAGTGTTAATGTTACATTAAGTTCTTTAGAAATTTGCCACCATATAGGAACACTGCACGTATGTAATCAAGCTGCGTCCTTTAACACTTCCTTTAACAGCTGGTTGCATGAATTTCAACACTAAATTGAAGGGGGGTAACTATTTGAAGGGGCTCTGTAGCATTTGCAGGTTATCTTATCATTTGGTCTGGGCTGTAATGTCTAGTGCTGATAATCCTTTGGTTTACCATTTCAACTAGGGCTCAGCAGTGGTATAATTTGCATGGTGTAAGGTGTGTTGTATGATTGTGCTTAACATATAAAAAAAACTTCCAAGCCCTTCAAAGTTTTCTGAGGTCTTTGAGTCTTGCCCAACAAATACTGATATGCATTTTATATTTTATTTGGCAGGAAGGAGTAAAAACAGAGAATGATCATATTAATTTAAAAGTAGCTGGTCAAGATGGATCTGTGGTTCAGTTTAAAATAAAACGGCACACGCCACTAAATAAACTAATGAAGGCTTATTGTGAGAGACAGGTAAATATTAACTGCATATTTTTCTGTGTTATTGTCCTCTGTTTATTGCTGAATAGATTAAAAATCCCCCAACTGCCAATGGTTTATTTTTTTCTGGGGAATTCTGGTATAGGAATGTTTACCCAGTCTTATGACATACCAGTGCATTGGTGATGAAAAAATTCATTGCACTATTATATATTCTCTATAAGCTTAGATGGGCTTTCTTTATTACTATTCTTTAAAAAAGTAACTGTAAATAATTTCAAATAAACGTGATTAATTCCTTAATATCTAATATAGATTATATAGCATTGACACAAGGAGCCAAGGAAATGTTGGCAATGACTGCCGTGTCACAATTTTTTTAACTTCTGTAGCAGCAGGAATCATAAAATAGTAAAGTTGGAAGAGGCCAAGAAGGCCATCAGGTCTAACCCTCTGCTCAGTACAAATGTGGGAAAGCACTCTTTAACAAGGTTCATGTGATATGGATAATCCTGACTGTGTGTTAAGTTGGAAGCCCCAAGGAAAAAGGAAGAGAATAAAGAAAGTTGTCAGTTCTACTAGCATATTGATAACTATGTGTATATAATTAATATTTATGGCTTTCTGTATGGAGATACTTCTATGCTGTGCAAAGAAAATCTATTTTTCAAATTATTTTGTAAACCTAGTGACCCTTCTTAGATTGATAGATTAGATAAGTATAGAGTGTTTCTCAGCTGAACTTGGCTTATAAAATACATGCATTTCATCAGCCAGGGATTAATTTAAACCTTTAGAATATTGACATCTATATTCAATATATTTGACATACACTAAGATATCAATATCTTTGATACAAACTAGGATGTTCTGTTATGTGGATTCAGTTTTATATAACTTCAGTTTTATTTATAACTTCAGTTTTATTTATAACTTCATATATTTCCATCTTTCAGGGTTTGTCAATGAGACAGATTAGATTCAGATTTGATGGACAACCAATTAATGAAACAGATACACCTGCACAGGTAAGAAATAAGTTGTGATGTTATGTTTGTGAAGTTCAACTGGTAACTCAGGGATTGGCAACTTGTTTGCTCCCTGAGGAGTGCAATTAGAGATGACTAGTGGATAGGGGGCCATACTTAGGAGCATGCATGCACAGATCTGCATGCACAAATGCACATGCAAACACCTCCATGCATGCATATGCTTTGACATGTCCTCTACTTTCCTAGTGCGCACATTCATACATGCATATCTAGTCTCACTCCTGGAGGAAGGCAACCACCTGCTGCAGGTCTTATCTGGCTCCTGGAGGGTTAAATACCCTCAGCATATCAGAATGGGGAGGTTTACATGTCCCTTCTTTGCATACTGAGATCCTCCCCTCTTGATTCTGCAGGGAAAGAAATCACTGTTGTTTGCCCTCTTTACCTGTAGAATCCAGGAAAATAAGACACATGAGGAGGCATCCCCACACATCCTCTTTCCTGCAACACTGGGCTCCCATGCATCCATTGAGTCTTCCTAGAGGTAGAGGTACAGGTATGGGGGTATTGATGGGTAAGACATCCATGGTGGGTTATGGATTTCCCATCCCAGTTGTAGGTACTGCCCATATCTTGGGGATTATGCTAATATTTAGAACTGATTTTTTTAATTCCTAAAGCATAGCTTTCCTATGGTGGTACTGAATAATTAATAATGGGTGTCTTTTCACCTAAGGGGCCAGGTTATAAAGGTGGGAAAAGAGAAGAGTGAGGAGGAATGAATTACAGAGAATAGCCTCATCGACTTTATACTCAGGCAAATGCCAGCAGTGACAAAGTAGTGACTATGCCAGTTTTTCCTTCTGTAGTATTGTGGGAACTCTGGAATCAAAGAAAGGATGGTAGTAACAGTGTCTGTTAGATTTATCACTCTTGGCTATTAATGATGACTAATGAAAGTTTTTACAAGAATTAAATAATAAGATGTAGTGAACAGATAACACCTTTACAGAAGTCAGTCCTAGATGTAGCATGTTACCATACTAATTAATTGGTGGAATTTGTACAAAGTATACTTACAAATTAAATTTTTGTCTTCTGCAAACTTTATGCCCTACATCAAATGAATGAATGGTTCTGCATGACTATACTCCTAGCATCAATGAAAGCATGCTAGAAAAGCTCACCACTAAGCAAGAGTGTCCATAAGAACTTTTAGGAACAGTATGGAGTTACTTCCATAAGCATAGTTACTATGTTTATTTGGGAGTAAGTTCCACTGAATCATATGAGAGTAAATATACATAAGTATGGTTATAAGTATTTGATTAGAGGGAATGCAATTAAATAGATCTTTGAGAAAGGATCCAAGACATTTCCTGAAAAGAAAGATGGAGGTAGGGCTGTGAGGTCTGTCAGATTATGCATATATCTGAGCATGAACTACTGAAAGAATCCAGTTTTTCCATAGATTGTGCTGCAGAATGGCTAAAATAACAGGAAATCTAAACATTTCTTATTGCTATGTTTTAAATGCTTTTTAAAACTTGGGGTATGAAAATGGTTGAGTGTGCTTCTGGATGACATTCCAGCAGCAATTCTTTGAAGGACTTGGATGACAAAAATGAAGGATGGTTTCTCCGTCCTGCAATAACCCAGAGTTGTATACAAAATACTAGCAGTCCCTTGCTGTTGTCTCATACAAAAGACAGATGGAAAAGGAGAGACACCACCCAGCTTCTATCCCTAAGTTCTTCTTGTAAATGTTTTTAAAGTCTACATTTACAGCTTACCTAATGTGTTCACCAAGATACACTTTAAGATGCTAATGTGGGAAAATAAGCACAAATAATGGTATTTTTGAAGCAAGCTTGAAAGGTTGGGAGAATAAATAAGAGACCAGATAGCCTTTATGCTTGCCCCACTGAGAATGGCTGGATTTGTTAGGTTTAGCTGAGCAGGCCTTGCTGGTATGTGAGGCAAGGTTATAATGCAGCAGCTGGAGCCTCAGATTATTAATTTATTGATTTGCACAAGAATATTGCTTTAATGGTTTTTTTAAATAAGTCTTGTCACTTTTGTCTTCACAGTTGGAAATGGAAGATGAAGATACTATTGATGTGTTTCAACAGCAGACGGGTGGAATGTGCTAAATATCCTGTCCTTTTGGGAAGAGGAATGTAAAATGTCACCTCACTTTATCATCTGTCCTTGGATTTGCTATTAAATAGTAAACAAATGAACATGCCAATCATACAGGAATCTTCTCATGTTCTGAGGACATTTATCCAAATTCTTTTCCTGTCCCTGATATACTGCGTGTGCAAGTCGAAGCTTATCTGTGGAAAATAAATGCATCATAAGAATGGGCCCACCCAAAATTAAATTCTCAAATAAGTAAAATACTGGCCGTTGTCTGCTGTCATCTTGTTCCCATAAATTTGTGGCCTAAATACCAACCTACTGTAAAACAAGGATACTTTGTCCTGGCTTTTGTTGTTTTTGTTTTACTGCTTAATTATAGTAATGTAAATATTGAAATATTTTTTCCTTGCAATAGTAAGTTTTTCTCTGAATAGCTGGCTTGGGAAAGAAAAAAAAGATTTTTACCATTAAACACAGTTACTACTTTAAAACTGTTAACGGGATATCAGAAAGGGCAGTACTTACAGATACAAAGCTGAGTATAGTGGCAATTTAAGGTAATGCAAATGTACATGTGCTTTTTCATAATAAAATAGCATAGACTCAAACAATTTTTTAAAGTAATGGAATGTCTTTTGAATTTGTCAGCAGCTGTAGCATTTGCATATGTTAACTTTCACAGCTTCTATTTAACTATCACATGTCCAGGGTTGAGCACAGTTGAAAAAATTTAAAGAATGGACCAGAAGCCTCCAGGAAACTGCTGTGCGTCTCTTGCTAATTTTATTGTGCAGGAGAAGTTTTTAGCAGATTGTTCCCAATGAAATAGTTCCCAAGGAGTCATTGCTTCATTTCCATTGATTTATTAGGCAGTAAGACTTGTGTACCTTCTGTCAATTTGAAAGCGTAACTTGTTAGTTGTATTTCTTTATCTTATACTTTCAAATGTAAGGCTGGGATTTAAAGGGCTGTGTACTTTTTCTGTATGTGCATGTGGTTTCTGCTTCCTGTTTCTGCTGCAGGTCCTCATGCCTCCCTTGGGAGACCCTGAGCAGTGTGGAGTGCAGTGCTGAAGAAAGTGAATTCAATACCATATTCTCTGTGTGCTGAGTTCTGCACATGCATGGAGCTCTTTAGATCCCAGTCATCTATTCATAGTTATTTTAATATATTCAGTCAAGTAAATTGGGTCTTATATTTAACATCATAAATGTCAGTATATTTATGGTCGTGTTAAATGTGCAGGTATACCACTGAAACATCAAGAATACAAAAGCTCTGAATGACAACCTGACATTCATAAAGAGACTTGCTGTGCTACTTCCCCAAATGTTGAGTTTTAAATGATTTTTGTAGTGACATCAGCTTGTGATGTTTCTTAGATATGTCCAGATAAAAATGTAAGGTCATTCTGTTGACTTTTGAGTAGGGTATTCATTGCTGCTTGAGAAGGTCACTTTCTGCCTTTTATATCTACTGTCTATATTAGATCATCTTGCAAGAAATCCTGCTGAAAAAGGCTTTTCTTTTTCATTTGATTGTATATGGGCTAAGGAGGGATACTCTTTTAAATCTGTCATTGTTTATTCACCAATTTATACAATATTTGTTTCCTTTACTACTGTATACAGTAAATATAGTTTGGTACTCTGTCTCTTGACTTCTGCTTAATTGCTGCTGCATTTCATATGACTGTATTCTAAACTATATCACTGAAATGCTGACAACTTAATCATATGTACATCTTTATTAAAATACTTTTATTGGGAGTGAACCTACTGCTCAGGGTATAACAATCTCTTAGGGATATGAGCATCAGTGTTTTTCATAAACAGCACTGAAGGTTTGTTCAGCTTTTAATTGAATAGCATCTTAATTTGCTAGATAGTTATTCATTTGTCCAAAATACCTTGGATCAAAAGTACTTAATATTTTATTTAAAAATGTGAGAATGTGACAGAGTAGTAAGGCCTTCTGTGGCATAAGTACTTTTGGAACACTTAAATTCAGTGGTTAAAAGAAATCAAGGACCCAACGCTGCAGAGTCGTGGGAAATGGCAACCCCCAAACTCATAACACCATACAGAATAATACTTTGTCTTCCAGTGTTTCCACTGTACATAGTGCATTCACAGATTATATTATCAAGTTTTGTGCAAACAATCTCCAGATGAGACTGTAGGACTCAGGCTATCATGTAGAAAACTACTTCACATTCTGGATCTTGTGATATCCCAAAACATGCCTCTGCTTTGGTGTGGTTTTTCAGACTGAGATTTTGCTTTTGTAGTGTTAAAGGTTTAGGTGCAGTTGTGCTTTCTTGCACTGTTAGGATGTTCTATTTTGATACTAAGTTGGCTATAGTGTTTCCTAGAAATTCAATTGGCTGTTAACAATCTCAAGTCCTGCAGTACCGAAAGCTCACAAACCTGTTTGATAACGGGTATTATTCAGTCAATCATAAGCTTGTTGAGACTTAGAAATGCAGCAACTCTCTAATAAAGATGTAGTCTGAGATCAGAGAAAACAGCATGACTAAATCTTGAAACAAAGCCCATTTTAAATTTTTGCTTCCGTATCATGTTACACATAAACATCTTTTGACCTTTTTCTGATCCCAGTTTGGTAGTTTCCAGTGTAGACCTAGGAAAGTATAAAACTCCAGTGAAATAAAAATGAGTTTGCTCCCTTGTCAGATGTCCTTTAGATGCACACTTGAAGACTTGCAGAAGATGTAATGGATTATTGTAATGGGTTTAACTGGATTTTACTAACAAGAACAGGGACAAGTAATTTTTAAGAACGCTATTCCAGGCTCAACGTTTAGCAATACAGTGTGTTACAATTACATTGTTAAAATCCCTACCAAAGGAATGAATGGGCTAGGTATGTCCTGTGTATCATTGCTTTGTGATCTCATTTTTACCATTGTTATCACCATGGAATTCTAAGTGCTCTAAACTGGTTTCATATTTTGTATGTTCATTACATATCTCCATGGGATCAGAATACAGGGAAGAATAGCTTGTTAGAGGGGTGACAGGCTTGCTTTAACAGGATAGCTAAGATGTTGGGTAAAAAAAAAAATTCTGAAATCAGAACGAGAAGTAAAATGGAAAAGGAATGGTAAAGGGGACTCCAATTCTGAAACTGGGAGAAACTGGCTGAATGGAATTTGCAGTTCCTTAGCATTTGTTTTCAATCTGACTTGCATCCACACTAGCAACACAGTAAGTGCTATTGAAACGGGTTCGGAAGAAGAGGCAATACAGTTAATGTTCTACGATGATTAAATAAGCAGGCTCAACTATGGTTAAAATTGATTTGGATGTGTTGAATTAATGGTGTAAATAATAAAGGGTCACAACATTTTCTAAAGATGTAAAACGTTTTCGACATTCTGCTTGAAAAGGAAATACTTAAAACGCTTAAATACATATTGGAATATACAAATAGAATGGCATAGGAAAGGATGAATTATGATCTGGACGGGGTTAAGTGTATCATGTTTGTAAAGAAGCTTCGAAAGAGCCATGAAGAGGCAAACTGGGCCTAGTAATTCCACGTACACTTAGCTAGTTCTAAATCCCATTGAATTTCGTAGAGTTTACTTCTGAATAAAACTTGATAGCATTACGGTGCATGTCACGGAGTGGGCAGTAAATGTTTTCTACCGCGTCGGATGTCCCTTTTTGGGGGGGGGGGGGCAGTGTGTTCTTCAAAAGGCTCATTTCAAAGCCGCGAACAAATGAAACCGGTTACATTCTGACTATAAGGATTATGGCTGAGCATAAAGAGGCGTGGATTGACAATAGGAACGACGGTAATCTGCAAACACGGCTATGAGGCTCATTTCCCGCAGAGATGCAGGAGAGGATTAAAACTTCACGCGGGTCAACCCCGCCCCCCTTTCCCCGTCTACGCATGCGTATTAAAGTATACTCCTTTGATCGGGGCAAAACAGCGTTACAGAGTTACTGCTTTCAGATGGCCTGTCTCTCTGGACGCATAGAGGTTTTCTGAGTTCACACTGGAGAAAGCATTTTTTAAAATCCCCCCCAGGGCGGAAGCGAAAGGTGATCATAGAAATGGCGAAATCCTGTTTAAAGTACGTGTTATCGGACACGAGCATATCCATCTAAGACATAAAAGGAAGTTGTAAAAGCAGGAGTTTAACTTAAATCTTACTTCGTGTGCGGAAAACACTCAAAATAAGATGTGAGTTTAAAGAACTTTCAAGATGGTTTTTTAATAGTCATGTAAATGTTGACTATTATCCCTCTATTGTTTGTTGAGGACAGATTTGGGGCACGCGCTCACCCTGTGGCAGAGGAAGTGGTCTGCAAAAACTGTAACGCGGTTTTAGTGATGTTACCCCAAATTGTATGTGGGAGGGATACGGCTCACATCAGCACTGCTGTTAACAGTGCAGGTCAGAGGGTGATTTGGATTTCCAATCCAAAGTTCTCCCAGGTTGCTTCAAAGGTGGACTTTAAAGTACCCCTTCAGAATCTTCTACACCAAATCTAGTATTCATTTTCGCAAAGAAACGTCCAGCTCTATTATTCATTGACTTGTCGCGATTTTAGCGTCCTTCCTCCAACCAGCCTCCACATTAAAATATTCCCAGGAAACAAAAAACCAAGTTAGAAAAGAAGACTCGCCAGTGCTTCACAACTGTTCTTTGTTTGAATGGGGGGGGGGCATATCTGCCCCATCCAACCACCACTAGCTCAAACCAAACCAATGGCCTCTTCTCCCTCGCAGGCCGAGTTAGGACAAAAAGTGCGGACTAGAACTACTGTCCCTGTGTCACTCTACCTTTTCCTATCTCTGGGTTGATTGCCCGTGGAGAGTGGAAGGGCATTGGTCGGTATCGGCCACACCCCGGTCAAAGAGCACCCGGAAGTGGCTCCTCGGCCAGCTGAGGCGGCAGCGACAACGGCGGCGAAGCCTCAGTCCTGAAGCTCGGTTCGGCCTTCCCATTCGTTTCTTCCGGGCTACCTGAGCCATGGCGGGCACCGCGCTCAAGCGGCTCATGGCGGAATACAAACGTGAGTAGCCGCGGGAGCGAAGGCGGTCGCGCTTTGTGTGGCTAGGCAGGGAGGCATGAGGGGGGAGCCCAGCTGTTGGGTCGCTAACCCCTCCAAGCGGTGCCAGCCGTTCTAAGCTTCGTGTCCGTTTTGGGCCTGCAGGGCCCTTTGTTGCCTTGCCCGTTCACTGGTTGAAAGGTGCTGGGGCGCCTTTCGGTAGGTGGGGCGGACAGGGAATCCCCAATCTTGACTGGCTTCGGGATGGTGCATCCCAGACTCCCTGAGCACGGAGCTCTTCCGTTTCCCCGGCGCAGACCACCTCACGGGTGGGCAAACTCAGGAGTGTGTTGTTTTTCTCGGGAATCCCGAGGCTCACCGGCTGGAGTCAGGGGCAAAATGATGGTTTCCGAACATGGATGTAGAATGAAGTAGTATCGTGCTACCGAGCACACCGTCAGCCCTGGAATTGGTTCAGCGTCCGAAATAAAGCGGGCACGTACATTCTTTCGCGTATGAATCTGTCCCATCTCACGAAGTGTTTGCCGTTTAATTTAAGAGGAAGGGAGATAGTTTTATTTTTGTTACCCTGGCCAATCTATTTTAGTTACCCTGCTTTAGATATTAAACCATTCTAGGGGGTAACACTTTTTTTTCCCTGAATACCACTGCTTGAGGCTGCAAGGTTGTCTTTTAAAAAGCAAAGATACCTGCGTTTTAGCTTAAGGAAAATCTCGAAATTAGTGTTGTATTAGGACATTAGAGTAATGACCCAGTAAAGATATTGCATTAATATTATGGTTGTCCTTTGTTTTATGTTGTATGATCCAAATGTTCCTTCAAATCAAAAACAGTTGCAACTAGAAACTGAATGTGTTGGAGTAGGATAGAGATGGGAAAACTTCCCAGCTTCCGTCAACCTGGGCAAGCATGGGCAACGGTCTGGGATCATGGGAGTTATAAACCAACAGCATCTGGAGGCCAAGAGGTTCCTCATTCCTGAAATGCTGTTTAGTGACAGCATTTCTCCTTCATATGTAATTTCCTTTTCATGTGCACAGGTGTTTATTTTGTTTCATTTCAGGGTGGATTTGATTTAAATCAAATTGATTTAAATCACTAGTCAGTATTACTAGAACTGAATCACGGTTTCCTACAGAATTTGCATGCATGCTTGCCTGCCTTACCTATAGCTTCATTAAAATATTCCCAAACTAGATCTCTTTTGCTGCATTATAGGTTTATAGGTTTTGTCCTCCAGGGAAAGAATGAAATATACCACAAAGATTCAAATACTTGTGGCTCCAAAGGTTTCAGTTTCATTTTTTACTGCTTGCCCCTCCCTCCTCACAGTTAGCATCTTTTCCATTCCCAACAATCCTCTTCTATGCATTTTTTTAAACTTAGCACTTAAAAGGTAAGGGTTTGATTCCGTGTACATAGATTTGCAAAGGAACAATGGGAGGTCTTTCCTCAATTCTGTATGTTTATTTTATAACATTTTTACTGTGAAGAAAAGGCAGAGAAAAGGCAGAGAAATGGCACAGTGCAACAAAAGGTTTGGCACTTGCTTCTATTGATAAACTGTGTAAGCTGTTTGGACTCAAACACAAATTCTCCGG